ATTGAGTTGGCCATCAGATTCTTCTTCTTTTTTTTTTTTTAAAGAGGATTTTGCCTTAGGTGCATGCACTGGCCTGGGAGAGAGAGACAGAAGATAGTGAGAGGGAAAGTGAGAAATCACCCCCCAGGGAATGGTCATGCTGCAATCCCTTCTCCTCTGTTCTTCTGGGATTTTGAGCATGTATGTCCGTGTACCAAGAGTGATTTTCAAGCCACCAGGTCTGAGATTCGAACTGCTGTTGACCATGTAAGAGTCCAGTGACATAACTACTATGCCCTCTGCTGGCCCTTGTCCATCAGATTCTAACTCACCTAAGAGTAAAAACCCTGTTTTATTTCTATGTCCACTACATAGTAACTTTGTTTTACATAAATTCATTAGGCTATGAAATAGGAGGAAGAGCTTGTTAAACTGTCACACTAGAGACCAGAGACTGGTTTGGGTTACTTTTATTGATGGGATTCTTTGGTAAGACCATTCCCGAAAGGGAAAGGAAGAAAGACAGGAAACAGTATCAAGTGCTGCACAGCAAGACCTCCTAGAGATCTGGGATGACATTCAAGACTTTGCAGAAGCTCCAGCAGTGGCCATTGTTTTTCTGTTCACTGCTTCATCTCACGCCTGTGCTTGTCAGGAGGAAGTTCTCGAGTATCAATTTTTGATTGAAGAGATTTTTATCTTAGGGCACATGTGCTTGCTCGAGAGAGACACAGAAGCAACAGAGACAATGAGAGGGAAAGTGAAAGATCACCCCCCAGGGGGAATGGCCATGCTGCAATCCCTTCTCCTTCATTCTCTTTCTGGGGTCTTGGGCATGCACATACCTGTGCCCAGCATGATTTTCAAGCTAGCAGGTCTGAGACACAAACTGTGGTCAGCCATGTGGGAGTCCAGCATCTTAACCTCCACACCATCTGCTGGCCCCTCAAGTATCAGTTTAATGAATGGGTTTCTAGGGACCAGCAGTTGGTGTAATGGCTATGTTGCTGGACTCCTACGTAGTCGACTGTGGTTCGGGTCCTGGAGCCGGTGGCTTAAACTCACACCAGGTGTATGTGCATGTGTGCCCAAGATCTGGAGAGGAGAACGAAGAAGGGATTGCGTCGTGACCATCCCCCCTGGGGGGTGATTTCTTGCTTTTCTGTCTTTCTGGCGAATATACGTGCCCTATAGCAAAAAGAAAATAAAAATAAAGGGTTTCTGATACTCTGCTGTATCTGCCTATTCTCTTTCTCCTGTATTCTCACATCTGCAACATGGCTTCTGTGTACTTACAGCCTTACTGGCTCATGGTTTCAGCTTACTTCTCTCTAAATATCGTTTCATTTTCATGCCATCACATTGTATGTGGATTGTATGCTTCTCATTCAAACTCCCAAAGATAGCTGTTCTGATTGGACGGCGCCCTCTCCAGGACAGAGCACTGTTTCCTAGTATAGTGGTCTGGCCTCTGTGGTCACCTTTGGGTTAGGGCGCTAGCCTGGTCCAGATACCTGTGGCCAACTGGCAGTGTCACAGCTCCCGAAATACGGTTTTGGCTATAAGAAGGAAGTAGCTATGGCAGATACTTAGAATGTCATTCCCTAATAATAAAGTAGCCAGGTTTGTATTTAGTCAAGTTCCAAGCCAGGTACTCCGATATGAGAGAACATCACTGCAGTCCGGTTCATCGTTCTAGGCCCAGAGCTTGGCACAGAGTGGAAACTGGAAAATTACTGGCTGAGCATGGGCTGACAAGAGGACATTCCATGGTCTTCGATTTACCAGGGACACACTAGGAGCTGTTAAAGAGAAGGCAGATGGACTTGAACAGCTTCATCCTGTCAGTGGGTCATTACAGTCAGTGGCAAACCCCGTGAGGCCTCGGGATCAGAGGAAGCTTCACTGCAGAAACACTGCCCCCCTCCAGTTCTGCCTTGTGTTGGAAAGCAGTAACACAGGACTCTAATCAGTGAGTGGATTTTGTCATTACAGAGTTGCCCTAAGGCTACAAGGCCCAGAGCTTTCGTGGAATGTCAACCTCCTGAAAGTCATTATGTTAGTCCTCAGGAGAAGGAAGATTCCCAAGAATATTGTCAGGATTAGGATTTGTTGAAAGGGCTGTTATGTGTTGGCATATTTAAATCAAGTGAGACAGTTACTTGAGAAGTTTTCAAGATAAAAAAAAAAGGGTCCAGCAGGTGGTGTGGTGGTTAAGGCCGATGGACTCCCACATGGCCAACCACGGTTTGAGTCCTAGACCTGGAGACTTACTTTCTCGCTTTCCCTCTCTCTTTCTCTGTCTCTCTCTGATCAAAGTGGAAAATAATAATAATAAATAAAGTGAAATAATTTTTAAAAATATAAAGGCATCCCTAGTGCTCACGTTTCTTGATGTCTCCTTCCCTCTCTGTACCTTTCCTCCCCCAAACCACCGATCAGGCTGGATTCTTTCTCATTGCAACAGTTTTCCACTCAACATAGAATTAGAACTAAAGAAGAATTTTGCATGGCGTTATTTTGGAGATGAAGCTAAAGTTCTCTCTGACCCCACATTGAGTCTGACCATTTATTGGGTACAGTGGTTCCAGGCACCGGAATCCTGCTTTCCATAGTAAATGCTCTGTTTTCCTTCAGTTCACACGTGAATGACCCGGTGGGTTAATAGGGCCATTGTTTCAGAGCATGGAACATTATTAAGTTTCATTGTTGTAGGTGCCAGGGGGAAATGGGAAAGCTGTTTAACAAATGGTTGCCACCTTCACTCGAGCTGAACAGGGAAAGACAACTGAGGACTATTCAGAAGGATGATCATAGACTTCTATCCATAACTGGAAGAGCAGGCGGTTCATTTTCGCAGGACTGGTCAAGTCAGAATGCTGCATTGGCTGGGTGTGGTATGGGAACCATGCAAATGTGGGTTAGGACCCCCAACCCTGCCACCCAGCGATAGCTTTCAGCGAGTTACATAAACCTTGCCTAAACTTTGGCGCCCATCACTAAGATGAAGGAAACCCTAGTACCCACTTCATGAGGGGATGAGTAGAATTTAAATGAGAAAATGCATTTGAAAGCACTTGCCACAGATCCTGGCACAAAGTGTTACTTTTTTTTTTTTTTTTTTTTTTTTTGAAGGTTTTTTTTAGGGGGCCCGTGGTTC